ATATCTAGGACAGAGACTTAAAAACCATATCCACTTAAATAAAGCTGTCACAGCACGCTGCTGTCAAAGGCATTTTGCACAGAATCTCTTGAACCCTATACGTACTTTCCGGGGAAAATCGCTGGATAAATCTATTCCCAGCGGAGTCCCTCTGACCTACATGATTGTATCGCATGTTCGGAAAAAAATGAATACCTGCAACAAACTAAAGTAATCAATATCACATAACACCTCATCTGTGTAAAGCAACACCCCTGTGATTTAGTTCTAACTGGTATTGTAGAATAATCATTAAAGGAAACAGACCTTTGATGCAGGCAATTTGACATTTAGAGTGCATGTACATTATAAAAATGCTTTGTGACATCAGATACGAGGCATATTGTGTAATTACGTATGGGAAGAGAGGCGCAGCAGCTTGAGCGTGTGTGTATAAACATATGTTTGTGTGTAAAGCGGCACACCAGAGCCTTTACATTTGGCCCGTAGTCGTCCCATCAGGACCCCAGCAGTGACTCCCCTTAACAAGCTCAAATCAGGCAAGCAGACTGGCCCATTCCCAATACTGGCTCATCCACAGAGCGAGAACCCCTATTTCAAATAGAGTATTGATTTTACAACCCACATTAAAGCAGTTTATTTCGGCAGCAGTTACCGTGGTAAAAGCAAAACTCATATCTCCATACATTCAGCTTTGATATCCAATTAACTAACTTATAGGATTAAAGAGATATTGGTCAGGTTGATGACCTGATAGTCCACTTTGCGTCCTCCTGCTATGATTATGAACAAAAGGAGCTGTTCTTCAACTTTACAATCTTATTGATTTTCCAAATAGTGCTTTAACTAAATGACACATGATGTACTTAGCACTGAGTTGCTTTCCAAGTCCTCGCTGTTGGCAAGAATCGCACAGAGACCCAGTACGTCGCAACCCTAAATCTACAAGAGTTGGCGTAATTTAACACAAGAGTCTTCGCAAGACTTTAACTTTCATTGTTCCCTAAACAAAGGAGCGTCGGTCTTAATGAATGCTTTCTCGAAATAGCAACCACTTCGTTAAGAGGAAAATCCTTTGCGGTGGAAAGGGCATGATGAGAGTAGATAATAGCCTCCTCCAAATTGAATGCTTCCAGATTAGGCGATTGTTGGCACATAAAGGAGGAAATGAGAGATACGGAGAGATGAGAACTTTTCTGACAAATGACGAGATAGCAATTAAAAGAGCTATTTCTAAAGCTTTTTTTAGTCACACCAGACCCACCATCTACATAACAATGGAAGCAATCAAATCGAGAGGGAGAGTGTGGAACATTAGTCTGATAAAGCACAGTTGATTGGAGCTCTGTTTTGGATTTGTTGATCACTGAGGCCACAAGCTTAAAGAAAAAACACAATAAAAACTACATTTACAAAAGCTTCTTTGTGTATTAAAAAAATTATTAAAAAATAGCCCTGAAGGATAGCATTGGGAGATCAGATTCATTTTAGAAAGTAGGCTTATTCAAAGAACCAGTTAACCACTTAACTCATTTGAGTCATCATTCAAACGTGTTTCCAGCAGCATTTTAAATGTCTTTTGATATAGTTTTGTAGTCTATGAAATGCTGCTGTTTATCACTGTTTATCGCAAAACTTCCACAAGACAAAATTTAAATCACAATTTATAAGAAAACATGACATCAATTGTGTAAATTCAGTTTTTATATGTAAATATCTGAAATAGCTTAATCAGAGATCTAAATAAAAATGTTTTCTCTTATAAAAATCAATTTTTTAAATGACAAGCATCTCGCAGATTCTAAAATTAGTAAACATATGAGCAGAACAGTGTTACTTTAGCATTGAGATACATTGAGACTGTGAATATTTTTATTTTTATTTTCCATTCTCATTTTAATTTTAGATAAAGTTTTAGTTTTTGTCATTTTTAGCAGTTTTGTTTTTCCCCCCATATGTCTATAGTTGTATTAATTTTTTATTTCAGTTTTAGTTTGAGTTATTTTAGTATATCAAGTTAATAAAAATGTAAATAAGTAAATAAAAGTAAATAAAAATGAAAAAGGTTGCCTTGGAAATTAGCCAAAATATTTGTTTTAATATTTTATTTTATTGCACTTATTTTATTTCAGGTAATGAAAATGATTTTTAATGGTTTTAGTTTTAATTTTAGTAACTATAATTACACTGGAGCAGAATTGTACATTTATAACCCCTCATGTTTTTTTTTTGTTTTTTTTTCTAAGAATGTCAGATATTTCCTCTCTGCATCTTCCCCTAAACTCTCTTTCACCCTGTCAAAAGTGGTCTTATTTTAGATTCCAACAGAGGACTGGTCTATTCCACGAAGACAGAGGTCAGAGTGCAGCCTAATGTCGAATGCATTACTCTCACTTAAACCTCTACTTTGTTCTTCCAAATAATCTGCGTACTCTGAGAGATACTGAACTGAGCTTTAACCCCGAGCCCCTGATATTTGCTCAGAACATAAATACACCACTTATAACTGGAGGACAGGCAATTAGGCAGCATCTGCCTTTTTAAAATGAAACGCAAACTCGATTTACGGAGAAAATAGTTCTGTAAACTGCACAAACCAATACGAACAAAAGGTCAAAATTAGCATTCCGCATTAGAGAGAACAGAGCAGAAAAATGAATAAGAAATGTCGAGACGTCGCTGTTCATATGTGCGCTGCTGAATATTTATGACAGTTAAAACACTTCCAATTAACTATTTAAATTATTAATATTCATGCAGTCATAAATATGCATTCTCTCATTGTTGTGCTCTATAGGTAGTGCGAAGCCACAGACGTTTGTTCAGTCATAATGACGCTCGAAAGAAAGGGTTTTTGTTTGGCATCTGATGAAAGCTGAAGTTCTCCGATAAGCTTTCCCCCATTACTGATGAGATAATGAGATTCTGAAAGGTTTCTAACACACATAACAGAGTGTAAGTCTATCTCTGTATCTACTGCAATGCCATAGGGTGTTCGGAGTGGTTTCTGGTAAGTTTTTATATGTCTGCTAGGATTTTTTGGGCGGTTTCTAGGAGTAAATTTTTTTTTGGAATTAATTTTTATTTTTATTTTCCATTCTCATTTTAATTTTAATTTTAGATAAAGTTTTAGTTTTTGTCATTTTTAGCAGTTTTGTTTTCCCCCCCATATGTCTATAGTTGTAATAATTTTTATTTCAGTTTTAGTTTGAGTTATTTTAGTATATCAAGTTAATAAAAATGTAAATAAGTAAATAAAAGTAAATAAAAATGAAAAAGGTTGCCTTGGAAATTAGCCAAAATATTTGTTTTAATATTTTATTTTATTGCACTTATTTTATTTCAGGTAATGAAAATGATTTTTAATGGTTTTAGTTTTAATTTTAGTAACTATAATTACACTGGAGCAGAATTGTACATTTATAACCCCTCATGTTTTTTTTTTGTTTTTTTTTCTAAGAATGTCAGATATTTCCTCTCTGCATCTTCCCCTAAACTCTCTTTCACCCTGTCAAAAGTGGTCTTATTTTAGATTCCAACAGAGGACTGGTCTATTCCACGAAGACAGAGGTCAGAGTGCAGCCTAATGTCGAATGCATTACTCTCACTTAAACCTCTACTTTGTTCTTCCAAATAATCTGCGTACTCTGAGAGATACTGAACTGAGCTTTAACCCCGAGCCCCTGATATTTGCTCAGAACATAAATACACCACTTATAACTGGAGGACAGGCAATTAGGCAGCATCTGCCTTTTTAAAATGAAACGCAAACTCGATTTACGGAGAAAATAGTTCTGTAAACTGCACAAACCAATACGAACAAAAGGTCAAAATTAGCATTCCGCATTAGAGAGAACAGAGCAGAAAAATGAATAAGAAATGTCGAGACGTCGCTGTTCATATGTGCGCTGCTGAATATTTATGACAGTTAAAACACTTCCAATTAACTATTTAAATTATTAATATTCATGCAGTCATAAATATGCATTCTCTCATTGTTGTGCTCTATAGGTAGTGCGAAGCCACAGACGTTTGTTCAGTCATAATGACGCTCGAAAGAAAGGGTTTTTGTTTGGCATCTGATGAAAGCTGAAGTTCTCCGATAAGCTTTCCCCCATTACTGATGAGATAATGAGATTCTGAAAGGTTTCTAACACACATAACAGAGTGTAAGTCTATCTCTGTATCTACTGCAATGCCATAGGGTGTTCGGAGTGGTTTCTGGTAAGTTTTTATATGTCTGCTAGGATTTTTTGGGCGGTTTCTAGGAGTAAAATTTTTTTTGGAATTACATATTTATCATCTACCAGGTGAAAAGCATAATTCCAGTTGTTTAGAAAAGCAATAGAAGACCTCTCCTCAACAAGTCACTTGAACTGTCTGTAGCACAAACAGTGGGGGACAAGTTAAGTGCCAATTTTATTAGTCATTTAATACTGTACTTCGGTTTACTTTTGTAGCCAAACATTTCCAAATGAAAACTTAATTCTAGAGATAATTTGTTTAGTCATGTTTAAAGCGGGAATCTAGGGTTGCTCTGCAATACATCTGCTGTAGCGAGTCTTTGTCTTCCAATCCTCTTGTGTGGTTGGATCCAACTCAACAGAGCCATTCAGGTGGAACAGTCCAGCTCTGTTTCTGTCCTCCCCAAGGCTGAGCACGTCAGTGAGTACAGCGCACCTCCATCTGGCTCTTAATCACAACGCCATGAAAACACTTTGTGACCGCTGTGGCGGAAAAGGGTTGTTGGTGTAGTCACAATAATCATATATTGCCACACTTGTGCTATTCAGCCATGCTGTATAAAAAGTGTACCGAGCCAAGAACTCAACTGTGCAATTGAATCCCTGCAAAATGATTTCTGAAAGCACTTTTGAGAACAGCTTATTTTTCCCTCAGTGCTTATAATGCAGTGTATGTTTACTTACTTAAACTTTTCAATCCGTCATTTAAAAGCCATTGGGTGAAGGTGAAGATGAGTGTACATGTCAGTCACTTACATCTGGTAACGACTCCCTCCAGTCTGATTATGTTGGGGTGGTCGAACTGACCCATGATGCTGGCCTCGCTCAGGAAGTCCCGCCTCTGCTTCTCTGAGTATCCTGCCTTTAGACTTTTGATGGCCACGTAGATTTCTCTCTTGCTGGGGAGCTTCAGACGGCCACTGCAAACCTCACCAAACTCACCTGGCAAAGCGACACACGGCCATCATCAGCACATCAGCATCAGACTACAGCAGATTTATGAAGGAAAATATGCATAAATAAAATCCTCTTGCCTGTACAATGTGACTGTGCTCATTTTAGTGTATACAATTCTAAGTTTAATATTTCTTTAGGAAAAATGTCTTCTGAGGAAAAATACTGCTGCTATTGAGGTGTATAAGGAGAAAATACTGACTTTCTTTTGTTGAAACGGTGAATGTGTTATCAAAATATATATATACACACACATCTCAGCCAAACATGTTTGGGTTAAACGTGTGTCCCATTCTCACGCAAAGAATCTAACAATATTTCTCCATGGCATCGTTTAATTCAGAGCTCCTAAAGCCCCAAAGAACTCTATTGCACACTATTGCAACTAGATGAAGAGAAATAGGAAATGAGACAGAGAAATAAAGAACCAGGATAAAAGACAAAAAAAGTCTGAAAAATGGAGAAACAGACACTCACGGACAGAGAACGCATACATTGAGGAAAATGAGATTTCAAAGCCAAGTTCAGACGCAGAGATATGTGGTATTAACAGCTCAGTATTTCAAACAACAGCTTTGTGTGTGAAGCTTACAGTCGGCAGACGTTCTATGATTAGGAATCAAATAGAAACTACTGTTTTTTTTTTTTTACATACATTAGCACACAACTGTGCTTACACACTGAAAACACTGAACAAAGTGAACAAATCCTCAATATTTAAGGAGCTACACTCACACAATTTGCATAATGTATATTTGTGATTCAGTACTGTTTTATTCTCATTTTCTTTCCACAATTTGATCTATAGAAGAATAAGACTCTCACCTGCACCTATAACTCTCTCTATATGTATAGTGGAGGCATCGATTTCCTTGGCAAAATCCCGGATGGCTTGATTTGGGTCCTCATAAGTGTGGGGGTGAATGTATGTTCTGCTTCCTGGCAATTTCACTGCAGTAAAAAAAAAAAAAGACCACATATGATTTTCACATGGGGATTTTGAGTCCAAATGAATGCCAAGACACGACTGCACCATAAAACCAAACAACCTCCTAAAATAGCTGGAAAAGATAAACTCTATGGTGAGGTTGAGTATGAGGGTTTTTGATTTATATTGCACTCTCACAGCTGAGACTGGAAGAGAGACCTTTTACATTTATGTTACCTCTAAAATCAACCGTTTGTTTTGACAATCCATTATGTATGAGTGTTTAGTGTGTGTTTGTGTGTGCTATTTTGGCCACTGTACCTCTCCCGTTCTGAAACTGCATTTTTTCTTCATCTGGATCTTGCTTCGCTTTAATGTAGCCACAATGTCTGCAACACATAAAAAATAAGATAAAAACATCACCTACAAAAATTTATATTTTTATAAACCAGCCATAACATTTTCATTCAGTACTGTATGAGAGTAAGGAAAAGATTATTTCCATGTTGCTGAAGAGATGACGTTTTCATTCATATTTTAGACTCAGCTGTAACATCAATCACTGTTTTCCAGTCCATATATACAGCCTTAATTGAGTCTGAACACGTCTGAATGAGTATGCCACCTAAAACATGAATACAAGTCTTCAAATGAGAGTTTGAGTAAGTGTATGCCCTGATAAAAAATTTGTCTTTGCATGTGTGTGAGTTAGTATCCGAGGGCACATTGGAATGTCTAAAAATACCCATTGGTGTTCTGGGTCTCCGTGGGTACGATTCTGAAACCGTCTGCCTTCGCCTGCAGCAATATAGTGCAACACACCCAGTATAAAAGCTCCTAGAGGCTTAGCAACATTTTAAACATCACTGCAAAACAACAGCCCCCCTCAGTCATTTGTCATCTAAATGCAGTTGCAGTTTATGCATAAAATACCCCTGAAGTGTATCTCCTAAATGCATTTCATTTAATTAAATTAAATTAAAATAATAACCTAAAATAAACATTCAAACATGTAAACGTTTAGCCCTGGTGCCATGTGTCAGAGACAATATAAAAATCTTTCTCTATTAAACTAGATAGGAACAATACTAGCATGACTGGAAAAATGATTTTGAGATGGATGCAAAATGAACTGACCTGCTCTAAATGCAGTTGCAGTTTATGCATAAAATACCCCTGAAGTGTATCTCCTAAATGCATTTCATTTAATTAAATTAAATTAAAATAATAACATAAAATAAACATTCAAACATGTAAACGTTTAGCCCTGGTGCCCTGTGTCAGAGACAATATAAAAATCTTTCTCTAAATTAGATAGGAACAATACTAGCATGACTGGAAAAATGATTTTGAGATGGATGCAAAATGAACTGACCTGCCTTTGAGTGTGCCTACGTAGAAACCCAATTCTTTACCTTCGTACCATAGAGCAGGTCATGAGGATGCTTGACTGAAGATCTTCTTGAACCGAATCAGCCTCTGCAGCTTCCCACATGTAACTGCCTAATCTTTCATGCTCCCTTGCAAACAGCATTACACTTTAATGAGAGAATTACATTTCCCTTCTTCAAGTTGTTCTCTCCCCTGTTCCTGTGCCTAAACTCCCCTCGGTAATTTGTCTCAAAGTAAGAATCACTCATGACAGCTAATCTGAGAAGAAAATGTAGAACTCTCTCATTACAATCAAGGACTAGTACATTTTAAAATCATCTTTTGATTATAATTGGTTTGGGGTGAGTTCCAAGGTGTCCATAATAAGCGTGCTCTCCGTTCAGCACGGCGAGGGAGCGGCCGAGCTCGTGATAAGAGTCGGCAGCAGGGAGGCAGATGAGCTGGAGGCTTCAAGCTTTTAATTTGGCAGTAATGATGAGGAGAGAGGCCGCCCATGCCAGGGTCACAGGAGCCCAGCCATGGCGAGTTGGCAGGCTGGAGCTGTGATTGCGTGGTAGAGAAGAGTGAGAATGATTCTGTCTTTGGCAAGCACACCTCACTCACACACATGTGTGTGTCCACCACATAGTGGAACTGAATGCCAGTGTTCATCATGCTCCATCACTTCAGTTTGATGCTGATTTTATTTGGCTGAATCAAACACAAGCTTGTCATCATGTAAACGCCTCTAATTGGCTGGATGGATGGATCCCCCTGTGTGTGTGTGTGTGTGTGTGTGTGTGTGTGTGTGTGTGTGTGTGTGTGACTGTGGAAACCTCGACTCATCTTGTCATTGATGTCAAGGAGAATGAAGAAAAATGTGGCATATAACAAGATGAATGGCTGAAGGTCATCAAAACTAGAAAACAAGCCATTTGTTAAAATCTTAACTTTATGTTCTTTCTTGAATGCAATCTGACAAATGGGAAAATATCAGCAAATATAACAACTGTTTATTATGACAGCACTCAGCTATGCTGTCAGGAAAATGACACAAGAGCATACCAAAATACTGAGTGTGTGTGCGTATTGTGACAAAGATTTTGCATTAGTTTTTCTAATGTTTTGTTAGGGCTGAATCCAATACCATCATCCATTTATAGAGATGCTTAAAAGCACAACAATTACATTTGCAGCACTCTAATATCACTGTTAGTGTGTCAGATGGCATTGTTAGTCATGTTTGAGTCTTGTGTTTGGAAAAAAAGTTACAAGCGTTACAATTAGATGCATAGACAGAACGATAGACAGATATACCCAACTGATAAAACAATAAATAGAATGACATAAATATACTATGATAGGACAACAGCTCAATAGACAGAACAAACAATGATATGAATGCCTCAATATGAATGATAGCTCAATAAATAGAATGAACGAAAGAACGACAAAATGAACAACAGAACAAACAACAGAAAGACAGAACATATCAAAGTTAGATAGAACAAACGACATAATGAACAAGCAAACAAATGAGTGAACAAACAAACAAATGTATGATAGATAGCTAGATAGATAGCTAGATAGCTATATATATATATATATATATATATAGATAGATAGATAGATAGATAGATAGATAGATAGATAGATAGATAGATAGATAGATAGATAGATAGAAAGATAGATAGATAGATAGATATTCAATTTACAAATTCAATACAATTTCATTCATTGAAACTGAGCCAAATCTTCATGTTTACATTTTGAACTCTAACCAAAACCATCCTAACTATTAAGATCAATTATGGCTATTATTTATTATCAAATAATGTGTTCATTGGAGCATCAAAAAAAAAACAAATGTATGATAGAGAGCTAGATAGATAGCTAGATATCTATATATATATATATATATATATATATATATATATATAGATAGATAGATAGATAGATAGATAGATAGATAGATAGATAGATAGATAGATAGCTAGATAGATAGAAAGAAAGATAGATAGATAGACCTGTGTTCAATTTACAAATTCAATACAATTTCATTCATTGAAACTGAGCCAAATCTTCATGTTTACATTTTGAACTCTAACCAAAACCATCCTAACTATTAAGATCAATTATGGCTATTATTTATTATCAAATAATGTGTTCATTTGAGCATCAAAATAATACTATATCAAACAGAAAAACTGCACATTTTTAACTTTTCTAAGTTAAAAAAAAGATTAGTTAATTAGTTATTAGCTGTACAGGCATCCTATTGTATAACCCACAACATAACTGTATTTGTCATAGAAAGCCAATAAAGTCAGAGTCATGTTAAAATAATAGGATGTTTCCCATAGTTTGTACAATTCAACTGTTTTTACAATCAGTTTCTGCTTTTAAATTAAACCGTGAGCATTCTATGCTGCATATGTCAATAGCTATCATACATTTCCATTACATAGAGTGTGTATGCGGATATTGAGGACCACAAATCTTATGAAGCTGTTCTCACTGTATGTCTGTATGGCTGACAGGCCTCTCAGAAATCTAATGAGAAAAAGAGCATCTTATATTGACAAAATGTCTCTCCTTGAAGAACAAAGCAGTGAGCATCATCCTGATGAACGACTCCAATCTTCCAGTGTTCCTCCAATAAATGAGTGAACACTGCTTGCTTTTGTTCAGCAAGACCTTTGCTCTTTCAGTACAGCCTGGACACCATGAGGACAAATCACTTTGTGCTGCCTAATGCACTCTTGCTCTCTTTCTCCGGAACATTCTGCCACACAGGAGACAGACACGAGATGTTCGCTACACCAGGGTATGCTATTGTACTTTGCTGACGGGAGAAAAAAGATGTTCCCGTTCTATGTGAAGGTCTAGCACATTTCAAGTTCATATTTCCTCATTCTCTGAGTCGCACACTCAATTTACATATCAATTTACCTTCCCGGTCTAATATGCTGTCACATGAACGCCGTTCTTCATGACGGCTTCCAGCTTTCTGTCCTGCAGACCATATACCATTGCTTCTATCAAGAATAGTTCACCTAAAATGCAAATTCGAAATCATGAATGAAAACATTTATTCACTTTCATGTAATTCTGTATGACTTACTTCTTCCATGATTTTAATATATATTAATAAATAATATCCTGGCCACTCTTTTGCCAAAATGCATCATAAAAGAAGTCCATTCAAATCAGTCATCTGAAGCCATTCAATAGCTTTGTGTGATGAACAGACAGAAATTTAAGCTGTCAGAATCTTGACATCCAACATAGCTCTTGCTGACATGTTCATGAGATTTCATATTAGAAGTAAGGATATCTGATTCATCAACTAATCATTCTGAGTCTAATATTTCCAATGAATTGATTGTTCACAGAACCGTCTGAATGATTTGTTCACTTTTTTTATATATATAACAAAAAGCTATCACATTGCTTCAGAAAACCTGGAATATAATGCATGAATCATTTGGACCAATTTTTTATTTTGACTTTTTTGGTCATTTTGGAGCTTCACTGCACCCGGCCTTTAATCACTTTGACTATACAGAAAACATTTTCAAAAATTAACCTTTATAAGAAGAATCCTAAGTGAAAGAAAGTGTTTGCAACAAATAACTAATAATGACAATTTTTTTCTTTAACTAGTCATCATTATTCATCTTATTTTATCACTTTTATACTTATTTAGATTTAAGCAGCACAACTGTTTTCAATATTAATAATATGACGATAATAATAACAATAATGATAAGCATATTATAATTATTTCTTAAGGATCATGAAACAACATTCGGCTTTGTCATCAAAAGAATGACAGGAAGCAGATGCACAGTATGAAAACAGAAAACAATATTTTAAATTGTATTTAAATTGTAAATTGTTGATCAAATAAATGCAGCCTTGGTAACATAAGTGACTTCTTGCAAAAAATAAAAATGCAAGTAGGAATACAACAGCTTGTTATGCCATTTTATGCATATTGCACAATGTTTCAGTT